GTGCCTGCAGATTACCATGCCCACGCGGATGCAGACCTCAAAATGCTGGAGGGCCTGGGGATCCACACGAAAGTGGTGCAGCACAACGCCCGGCCAGGAACCCTCTATGACGAGGCCCTTCGCTATGAGAAGGGCTCGGCGATTCTCTCGACGGGGGCCTTGGCAGCCTTCAGCGGTGCGAAGACGGGGAGATCACCCCTGGACAAGCGGGTTGTAGAGGAGCCAAGCACCAAGGATGACATCTGGTGGGGAGCCGTCAACATCCCGGTCTCGGAGTCGACCTTCAAGATCAATCGCGAGCGTGCCATCGATTACTTGAACACCCGGGAGAGGCTTTATGTCTTGGACGGCTTCGCTGGCTGGGACCCGAAGTACCGGTACAAGGTTCGAGTGATTACCAGCCGTGCCTACCATGCGCTGTTCATGCACAACATGCTTATCCGGCCGACGGCCGAAGAGCTTGCGAACTTCGGAGAGCCGGACTACACGATTTACAATGCCGGGGCGTTCCCGTGCAACCGAGCGACGGAGGGCATGACCTCGGGCACCTCCGTCTCACTCAACTTCGCGAGCAGGGAGGTGGTGATCCTCGGCACGCAGTATGCCGGCGAGATGAAGAAGGGCGTCTTCAGCATCATGAACTACCTCTTGCCAAAGCAGGGTATCCTTAGCATGCATGCAAGCGCCAATGCCGGCAAGGACAAGGGCGATGTGACGGTCTTCTTCGGCCTCAGTGGCACTGGAAAGACCACACTTTCGGCCGACGAGCACCGGCTGCTCATCGGCGACGATGAGCACGCCTGGACGGATCAGGGCATCTTCAACATCGAGGGAGGCTGCTACGCAAAGGCCATTGGCTTGACCCGGGAGAAGGAGCCGGAGATTTGGGATGCCATTCGTTTCGGGGCTTTGCTTGAAAATGTCGTCTTCGATCAGCGCACCGGCCGGGTAGACTACGACGACGTCAGCATCACCGAGAACACCCGGGTGTCCTATCCTCTTGAATACATCCCGAATGTCAAGATCCCAGCCGTCGCTGGGCACCCGAAGAACATCATCATGTTGACCTGCGATGCTTTCGGGGTGCTGCCTCCGGTGTCAAAGCTGACGCCAGCGCAGGCGATGTACCATTTCATCTCCGGGTACACCGCCAAAGTGGCCGGCACAGAGATGGGCGTCACTGAGCCTACTGCCACCTTCTCCGCCTGTTTCGGGGCTCCCTTCATGGTGTGGCATCCCGCCAAGTATGCCGAGCTCCTTGCCGAGAAGATGGCTCAGCACAACGTGAATGCCTGGCTCATTAACACCGGCTGGACCGGCGGATCCTACGGAGTCGGCCACCGCATGAGCTT